GGATGTCATAAAATTCAAATACATCAAATTACACAAAATGTAATTAATCTATATGCATTTAAAATATTCCAGGGTATTAGAAAGCAAATAAATATGAGTTAATTAATGATATACTATGTTTATAATTAACACAAGTCTATATGATTTGTTCTTATACTATCCCATTCTGGAATATTTTTTCAAATAGTAACTCTTTTCCACTGTTAGCAGGGATATATATTATTATAGCTTATCCATAGGCCATTTGGCAATATGTATGAAGAGTTTTAAAATGACAGAGAAAAATACTGCTTTAGGGATTCATTACCAAGTAGTTTAACATAGGTAAAAGACATATATTCTAATTTATATATTAACTTGGTAATAAGATAGATGTGGAAATTTAATTTCCTTTCTCTTTATCGGAATTTCTTATACAGGAATATATATCACATTTTTAATTAATGTTTTCTTTTTAAATGCTAGTGAAGCTGCTCAGTCATATCTGACTCTTTGCGACCCCATGGACTGTAGCCTACCAGGCTACTAAGTCCACGGAATTTTCCAGGCAAGAGTACTGGAGTGGGTTTCCATTTCCTTCTCCAGGGGATCTTCCTGACCCAGGGATTGAACCTGGGTCTCCCACATTGCAGGCAGCGACTTTACCATCTGAGCCACCAGGGAAGTCCAAGTTTTAAATGCTATAAAAAACACTTGTGGAAAATACTTACTTGTAGGCAACCTTACTTATTTCATCATCACGAATATCCCTTTCCATTTCTATTCTGTTTTGTTTAACTCTGAGTTTGGCTTTTTCAAGATTGTCTATGGTTTCTAGAAGTTCTCCATGAAGTTGTTTGTATATTTCCATTACCTAGAAATAAAAATATGTATGCTAATATACACACTTAATGGCTAATTAAAATAATCAGATCACAGAAAGATCAGAGAAAGGTTTTATAGTAGTTCTGGTGTAGATTATAAACATTCTTTATATTGATTTTTGTTCCCTATTTAGTCTATTGTTTAGCACAGCAGAGTTTCAGATTTCTTATATGCCCTGAGAGACATCAATACTAGCGATGTACAAAAGTTACTGAAGAAAATAACTTCACTATCCCAGTTAATATGACCAAAATAAAATCATTATCTTTTCACCTACAAAAACTAAGACTTTGTATTTGCTCTTGTTGGTCAAATACTTTACTGTAGAAAAATCAAACACCACCAATGAAGAATTGAAAACTGAAAAAATCACTTATAATCTTCTCACTCATAAATAACCATTATTATCTTCATGCAAGGATCCAAAAATATTCCATTTTTATTGTTTTCATTAATTATTAGACATCATAAACCATCTCCCTTTCCTCTCTAGCTCTCCCTTCTCTGTCAAACTAAAGGGAAAGGGTGGTTGTAGTTGTCATGGTTGGAAGGAACGACTGTTCAGAATGTCCTGTTGGAAAGCTAGAGGGTGAGGAGTAGAAGGACTAGGTAGTGAGCAGTCCTTTCACTAGGGGCCAAGTGGTGGATCAACACAAAGCAGTACCCTCCTAAATAAAGCAACAATCTTCATTAATATCAGTTTTATTTCATTGTATCAGTATTATTGTGATAGGAACATTTAATATGATTATCTATCTTTTAACAAATTTTTAAGTGTACAAGATCCCCTGGAGAAGGAAATGGCAACCCACTCCAGTATTCCTGCCTGGGAAATCTCATACAGAGGAGCCTGGTAGGCTACAGTCCATGGTGGCACAGAGTCTAACAACAAAGTGTACAATACAGTAAACTGTAGGCATTATGATGTACAGCAGATCTCTAGAACTTATTCATCTTGCATAACTAAATCTTCACACCCATTGAAAAACAGCTCTCCATTTCCCCTCAAGTCCCTACCAATCAACATCTCTGCTTCTACGAAGATAACTATTATAGACATCTTATACAAGTGGAATCACCCAGTATTCGTCTGTGACCTCTTTAGTACTTAGCATAATGATGCTCTCCAGGTTCATCCATGTTGTCACATATGGCAGTTTTCCTTCCTTTTTTTAAGGCTGAATTATATTCCACTGTATGCTTGCATCACATACAGTTTAGAATTAGCTTGTCAACCTCCACAAAGAGAACTGTTGAGATTTTGTGACTGCACTCAATTTACAGAGCATTTTGGAAAGAATGTTACAAAATTTAGCCTTTTAAGCCATTAACATCATTTATCGATATCAGTTCAGTCAGTCAGTTCAGTTGCTCAGTCGTGTCTGACTCTTTGCAACCCCGTGAATCGCAGCACGCCAGGCCTCCCTGTCCATCACAAACTACCGGATTTTACTCAAACTCATGCCCATTGAGTTGGTGATGCCATCCAGCCATCTCATCCTCTGTCATCCCTTCTCCTCCTGCCCCCAATCCCTCCCAGCATCAGGGTCTTTTCCAATGAGTCAACTCTTCACATGAGGTGGCCAAAGTATTGGAGTTATAGCACTTCTCAAATTCTCTCAGAAATATTCATAGTTTTCTTAATAGAGGCTGTGCATGTCATTTGTTACATTTATTCTAGATATTTTATATTTTATCTTCTAATGAATGCTATTTTTAAATAAACTTTTCTTTCAGATTTGTTTCTGGTATATAGGAAAGTATGGATTTAAAATTTTACCTTTGTATTCAACTATAATTCATCTGTGGACATGTTTAAAGTTCATGTATACATAACCACATAATCTGTACAGCAAAGGAAACCATCAACAAAACAAAGAGACAACCTACCCAATGGGAGAAGGTATTTGCAAATCATATATTCAATATGAGGTTAATATCCAAGTATATAAAGAACTCATACATCTCAATAACAAAAAAAACCAAACAACTCAATTTAAAAATGGGCAAAGGGGATAAACAACAAGTCCTACTGTATAGCACAAGGAACTATATTCAGTATCCTGTGATAAGCTATAATGGAAAAGAATAAAAAAGAATAAAAAAGAATATATATGTATGTACATGTTAACTGAATCATTTTGATGTATAGCAGAAATTAATACAACATTGTAAATCAACCATATTTTTTTAAAATGGGCAAAGGGGCTGAATAGACTTCTTTGGGGGGTCCTGTCATCTTGTTACATTCTTTTTTACATTCTTTTTACACTGACTGCAACAACTCCAGAGAAATTCCTAGATATATATGTATATTATTTTTAATTTGAAAAAAAATTTTTTTTCTTTCCTATTTTCTATTTTTTCTCTTTTATTTTCTTTTAAAATTCCCTATTACTTCCCNCCAAGGAAACCAGATCTGAAAGAGACACGTGCACCCCAATGTTCATCGCAGCACTGTTTATAATAGCCAGGACATGGAAGCAACCCAGATGCCCATCAGCAGATGAATGGATGAGGAAGCTGTGGAACTTCAGTTTTATCACCAGTCCTTCCAAAGAATATTCAGGGTTGATTTCCTTTAGGACTGACTGGTTTGAAAGAATACTACACAATCACACAAAAAAAGAAAGAAATCTTGCCATTTGTGACTACATGGAAGACTTTGAGGGTATTATGTTAACAGAAATACGTCACATGGAAAAAGACAAATATCTCATGATTTAGCTCACATGCAGAATATAAAAAACAAACAAAAACATCCAAATAAGTGAACAAACCAAACCAAAACAAACATGAAGGTTCAGACAACAGAGAGAAAGGGAGGACAAAAATGGGTAAAATGTGTTAACTATATGGTGATGGATGACATATATCATGTTTAAGAGAAAAAAAGAGAAGGCACAAATAAATATCAGGAATGAAAAAGGTGATCACTACATATCCCTGGTGACTAAGTAGTAAAGAATCCACCTGCAATGCAAGAGACTTGAAGGAGACATGGGTTCAATACCTGGCTCAGAAAGATTTCCTGGAGTAGGAAATGGCATCCCACTCCAGTATTCTTGCCTGGAAAATCCCATGGACATAGGAGCCTGGTGGGCTGAAGTCCATGGGGTCACAAAACAGTCAGACACTATTGAGCAACTAAACAACAACATATTCTATAGACTTATAGGAAACAAAATGGGCTTCCCTGGTAGCTCAGCTGGTAAAGAATCTGCCTGCAATGCAGGAGACTCCAGTTCAATTCCTGCTTTGGGAAGTACCCCTGGAGAAGGATAGGTTACCCACTCCAGTATTCTTGGGCTTTCCTGGTGGCTCAGATGGTTATGAATCTGCCTGCAATGCAGGAGACCTGGGTTTGATCCCTGGGTTAGGAAGATCCCCTGGAGGAGGGCATGGCAACCCACTCCAGCATTTGTACCTGGAGAATCCCCATAGACAGAGGGGCCTGGTGGGCTACAGTCCATGGGGTTGCAAAGAGTCAGACACAACTGAAATATTAAGCACAGTAAAACATAGGAAACAAAAGGATACTAAGAAAGTCTCTGTTCCAAAAAAATACAAAATTTTGATGAAATGGACATAATCTTATAAAACTAGAAATAACCAAAATGGACACAGGAATAAATAGAATATCTAAAGAGTCTTATTGAGGAAATTGAATTTGCAATTAAAAACCTTTCCAAAATAAACAAAAAACAAAACTGGAAAACTTTAGCTAGATGGCATCAATAATCTGAGTCTTTTGCAAACTCCTCCAGATAGTAGAGAAAGGACAAATACCCCCAAGTTACCTTTAAATCTAGCAAACCCTTAAAAACAAAACTGACAAGGACATTACTAAACAACTATACCATTTACTTATTCATGAACTTAGATTTAAACCCTTAAGAAAACAATAAACAAATCAAATCTAGCAACATCTTGATTAAGATGTAACATCTTCCTTAATATAAAAAAATTAATGTTTTCCCTTTGAAACTGGGACTGTGACAATGATGCAAAATATTACCACTTACAGTCAGCAATGCAGGAGACCTGGGTTCAATCCCTGAGTAAGGAAGATTCCCTGCAGCAGGAAATGGCTACCCACTCTAATATTCTTGCCTGGAGAATTCCACAGACATAGGATTCTGGAGGACATGGGGTCCCAAAGAGTCAGACACAACTGAACAATTAATACTTCAGTCACTGGAGATCTTGGCCAAGAAACGTCCAAGCCTTACTAAAAGCAATACAGTAAAATGTATACAGATTAGGAAGAGAAGGAAATAAAACTGTACTTGAGTGAGTGAGTGAGAGTTGCTCAAACGCATCTGCCTCTTTGCAGCCCCATGGACTGAGTAGCTACTCAGTCCATGGGATTCTTGAGAATATTGGAATGGGTTGCCATGCACTTCTCTAGGTGATGATCCTGACCTAGAGATCAAACCTGGGTCTCCCACACTGCAGGCAGATTCTTTATCATCTGAGCCAACAAGGAGGCAAAACTGTCCTCCTGCCTTCAATGTTTCCCAGGTTCAGGGCCTCTCCAATGAGTACGTTCTTTGCATCAGATGACCAAAGTCTTGGAGCTTCAGCTTCAGCATCAGTCCATCCAAAGAATATTCAGGACTGATTTCCATTAGGATGGACTGCTTGGATCTCCTTGCAGCCCAAGGGACTCTCAAGAGTCTTCTCCAACACCACAGTTCAAAAGCATCAACTCTTTGGTGCTCAGCTTTTTTTATACTCCAGCTCTCACATCCATACATGACTGCTGAAAAAACCATACCTTTGAGTAGACAGACCTCTGTAAGCAAAGTAATATCTCTTCTTTTTAATATGTTGCCTAGGATGGTCATTGCTTTTCTCTCAAGGAGTCATCATCTTTTAATTTCATGGCTGCAGTCACAATCTGCAGTGATTTTGGAGCCCACGATTATAAAGTCTATTATTCTTTTCATTGTTTCCCATCTATTTCCTATGAAGTGATGGGACCAG